TCTCTACTTACTTGCCACCAGCTGCACAGGGGGAAGGAGAATGGGAGTTGCAGTCAGTTCATCACGTGTTGTTTCTCCTGTTCCTTCCTCCTCAGGGGAGGACTCTTCACACTCTTCCCCTGCTCCAGGGGGGTCCCTCCCATGGGAGACCTTCACAAACTTCTCTAACATCAGTCCTTCCCACAGGCTGCAGTTCTTCATGAACTGCTACAGTGTGGGTCACTTCCACGGGGTGCAGTCCTTTGGGAACAGACTACTCCCACAGGGTCCGACTTGAATCTGGCTTGAATTGGCTTATATTAATGATACAGATTGATTTTGCTGTGATAGAAATCAAGATTATCGGATTATTGGCCCTTTTTTGTCAACTGGAGCTTCACAATTGTTCTCTTCCTTTTATTCAAGGGAGCTGCAAATACTCAAATTTTAAAACATCCTGACCATGATTAATTGTGGAAACTCCTTGTTTACCTGAAGTTAAGTACATGCAGAAGCACTGCTTAGTCAAGCCTAATGAGAATGCTCCAGAAAATTAGAGTTTCTCTTGGCCCTTCAGAAATTAGAACTTTAATTTGTAAAATTAATAGTGTATTACAGATGATTAGTCTAATTTGTAACATGAACTGACTGTTAGGTTCCCTAACCAGTGTTTTTCCGTTCACGGAATCTGTCCATTACTAATTCACTTTGTTGGTTTATAGTTCCTGGAAGTGCAAGAAATTCAATGCTCCAGTTGGTTGGGCTTTTCATTAGTTTATATCTGGTATTTAGACCACACCATTAGCATTGTGTATAAGAAAACATAAAGGAAAACCATTGCCTTGGGCAGTCAGATCAGGTTCACTACTTAGTTTGCCTGTCTTCGTGGCATTGTGTGTCTCAATATATTTCACCAATTCTAAAAAAAAACTACTAAGGCATCACAACAGTCTGCTGGAAGTAGGAGATTGTTCATCTGGAAAGTGAAAAGTCTCTGTGATCAGTTTTGTATTTTGGATTTGTGATGGTACTTACAGTCCCTCTACATTTCCAGTGGAAACTCACTTTTATTTACGTTAATTTGAGAAACATGCTTATATGTGTATTCTAGTACATGTATGTCTTACCCCACTACAGTGGACAGTCGAGAGAGGTTTTTTGTGATTCCCCAAAGAGGAGCACCAGGTAGGTGTAGTCAGACAGTGATTCAAGGAACAGTACAACACAGTTTTATTTACCTCTGCCACTGCAAAAACATCACGAATCAACTTCTCAGAGTTGAGCACCAAATCACATTTATCAGTTATCACCAGACATCACTTATCAATTAAGCAAGCACCAAATAAGGCTCAATCATTATTCAGAGTCAAAAAGGTTAGAAAGGGGGGCAGAAGGACAGAGAGAGACACGCAAAGAGACAAACACAAACACAGAGACATGGATAGCATCACCAGTCCCTCATTCCAGCACGTCTTCTCTTCAGGCAGAAGTCTTAATTTCAGGCAGAAACTCCTGGCATGGGGTGGTGATGGGTCGGCAGGGAGTACGGTTTGGGCTCACCTGTTATACAGTTCCAGGACCACCCTTCGGGGGGGCCCTGCATCCATGTCACCTTCGGGGTTGACCTTTGATGGATGCAACAGCCCTGCATCCAGGTTAGCTTCATGGAGGGGGCAGCTGGTTCTCCACTGGGGAGATGACTCCAACCCCAGCAGCCATGCCGCACCTCAACAGGTGTGCCTGTCACTCAAAAATTTTACAACTCTCTAATGTTTGTTCACAAAAGGGCTTTTCTTACAACATGCTCTGCTTGAGCTGTTTGTAGACATGGTCTATATGTCTCTTCTTTAGAAATGTTCTGTCCAAGTGCTCTGCCCAAGCACTCCTGGTGGAGCCTCTTCTTTAGAAAATGTTCTGCCCATTGTTTGAGACATAAATAAACATAAATGGATGTGGATAAACAGCATCATTTGGGAGGGTATGGGTACGGATCCAGGCCATGACAATGTATCGCTAATATACATACACCCATTTCAACACATTCGGCCCTGTGAATTGCCTTTTCGCTGTTATATTCCCCACTGTTAGCCATCTCCAAATGTCTCTGTGGTTTTGTATTAATATAGTTTTCCTTCAGTCAGTTCACCTATTCAACGTATCGTATGTATGTCAGCCTCTGCAAGGGATGAAAACCTTTCGAAATCTGTTTTTTTATGAAGTACAGCAGATGAAATATTTTTAAAATCTATTTTGTGCTTAAATACATAACCACTACTTAGGTATTTAGGAGATGGAGGCAGACAACTGATAAACTGATAGACCTAGAGTTAGGACAAGTCAAGGTTTTGGGAGCAGAGAGTCCTGCTGTAAAAAAAGCTAAAAAGACATTGTTTCTCTGTCATTACATATTAGTGTAGCTTTAGGCACTAGTGGAGGAAAAAGAAGGAGGGGTAAAAAGAATTTCAGACCAAAACCATGCAGTGTCTTCACCAGGCTCTGAGAAGCAATACACAAAGTGCCAAATCAATGACTTGTTGGAAGCACCATTAGCTATTATAAAATAGATCTACAGCCCAGAACACTGATCTCCTCTGTGTTTTTTAGAACTTTGAACTTCTGCCAATCACTTATGGTTTTGCTTACTTGCACACCCCTACTCCACTCTACATTCTTTACTTTTTATCTATGAAGGCCCATAAAAGTCTCTGGGGACTATGAAAGTACAAGGGTAAGAGAGAATTTGACCTCGTATTTCCTGAGCACCTCTAAGGAATCTTCTGTTTAAAGCATCTGGAAAGAATTGTGAACAAAACTGTTTTATGGATAGGGCAACAGGTGCAACCTGCAACAGAAATTTCAGACACTGAGAAAACAAATCCTTTCCCTTTACTGAAACACAGCATTTATTTCTGGAAGAAGAAACAGATACCTTCTCCTGCAGAAGCCAAGATCTCCAAAGACTTTGTGTGGCGTGCTAGCCACAGAGATGTCAACTGCCAACAGAAATATTGCACACTTATACCAATAACAAACAATGAGTTGCTGGAGGGAACAGCTACTGCCATCACTTGAATAAAAGAAACTCTGGCAACTAACCACATATCAAAATAGATTCTGAAATAAGAAAATGCCTTCTTTTCAGCACCTACTCAAATATCTCATTTTAGATTGTGCCAAAACTCAAGGGTAGCTGATATCCACATTAATTCTGGATGAGAATTTTATGGGAAAACCTGGGAGGACCTCTCTCCCAAGACCATTCATATGGAGAACACACTCCGGATTAATTTACCTGGCTGATAGATGTCACTCCTATTCAACTGCTAAAGAGCTTCTGTTACACCTATCAGGCTTTAGTGGCCTTCAGTGTATTATGGCCTGGAAAGTGACCATGGCAACTTCTAAATCAGCATGCAAGATGTGTTCATTGTTAGAAAGGCTTAAATACATTTTTTTTCACTGCTACTAGCAAAACCAAGGCTGTTGTCTAAGAGCGAACTATGTTGTTACTAGTGCTTATGGTGTTGCTCAGGACATATCCTATCCTGTTATAAAATCAGAGAATGATGTCAGTAGATGGAGCACAGGAGGGGAGCAATGTGGCTTTTTGATCCATCAGCATTATCATCTAGGGAGGAAAAAATATTTCTTACCTTCTAGCTGTATGAATTTCTTATGTGTGTTACTAAGAGGAAGGGAACAAATACTGAAAACAACTTTATAAAATAAATAGAGAATTTAGAATTGTTCTGTGACTGTAGGATTACACAACCTTAACATTTTTCTGTATTTCCATAATGTGTTTACTAACATAATGCATTTTAAACATGTTGAGCCATTTCCATTGACTGCTGATCTCAGACTGTCAGAGTGTTTTTCCTCTGCTTCTTCCACAAATTCTGCTTCATGCTGCTGACATGCTTCATAACTTTCCTTCGTGGTCTGCCTCTATCCTGCTTAGAGCCTGAGGGCATCTTTCTTCATAATCAGTCTCTTTAGTTTCTGTCTGGCTTTGCTTTCTTCAGGGTTCTCAGAGCCTTCCTTGACCTGAATGTTTAATTTACTCCTCCAGCAATCACTTTCAATAACATCATGCAGAAAAGGAAGCTATTTTTCACAGTTAGAAAAAGTGTCAGTATCTGAATCTCATATTTCCATTTTGGATATGGGAGTATGTCCAGACTAGTGTGGTGTTCTATGTAAAGCTGATAGGAAGGCTATTTTCTTATATTCTCACTCTGAATATAGGAATTTTTTGTGTAGACATTTCTGCATATATCTGAAGTGTCTTCTAGTAGAGTACAAGAGTGGAAGACCTAATATTTTAAGCAATTTTCTGTGTATTGGTGACTCGGATAGCAGAAATATGATTTTAATGTGATGAACATTGAAACTCAGCCATCAACAATCTTGTTGGTGCAGGATTTACATAGTTAGTGCAGAGAATGGCTGGCTTACTGGCTGGTGTTCGCCGAGGAGTTGAAGACGATCTCCCTTGCTCTCCCATTGCCCCTCTCAAGGCCTTAGCACTCCCTACCTCCACAACAAGGACAAGTCAGTCAGGAACACCACAAATGGATCTTCTGGAAGAAACTCATGCTCAGCAATTCACTGATACATTCCTTTGATGGACTTTGTTAATATCTTCCTCTTTTTTTTTTTTTTTTTTTTTGTTAAAAATGGAAAAAAACAGCTAATTAAATCCATTTGGTCTTGAAATACATTGAGCAGGCTCCTGCCCACTGAAAACTTTTAATTTAAGATACAAAACTGTTCCTATGGTATTGCAGGAGTCCAAAAGTCTTGAAGTCCAAGAGCTTTTGACAAGAACGGAAAATGCAGAGCAACAGTAAATATTCTTTTTAGCTGCACCCTGCAGCTACAAGAAGGATGACAGTGATCAGAGAAGGAGAATTCCTTTTTTATTTACTGCTTCTTCACTCCATCTATCATCATAAAAAGAGAAAAATTGAGGTGCCTTTATTCTGTGCTTAAGATTTTCTCTGCTTACACCTTCACAGATGGGAGATTGGGAAATGGAGCACCTGCAGTCTTACCTGTGGAGTCGGTTTGCAGACACGAGATGTCTTCTGTTCTCATCTACTATCAAGAGAGACAAACGAGACTGTGATTTTGGCAGACGAATTGTGCTATAAACCTAAGCCATCCCTTGTGCAAGCATGTAATCGCTTTGACTGCCCACCCTCCTGGTATCACACAGAATGGGAAGAGGTAAGAATGTATATGTAATCTCATTTTATGACTGCTAAAAGTAATCATTACATGAATTATCAGTGCATCATTTTGCTTTAGCCCATCAAGAGGATTCTTTAATCATTCCAATGAGCCATTAAAAAAATTAAAAAGTGTGCATTTTTGCTCTTTAAAAAAAGAAAGCATCAAGGTTTTCAGAGGTAAATAATGACTATAGCTACTTCTAATGCAAAGTTACTGGAAACTCCTAAGAGCTGGCTATAGATTCCAGACCAGAATGTCTGGAATATAGTGGTCAGCTGCAGTCAGTGGCTTTCTGTTAGCAATGTCAAGGTTTCTAAGACTACAAAGCTATAAGGATCAAGGAGGAGAGAAGCTCTAAAGTGTGTTGGGTGTTCTGCATATTCTCAAACAGTAGTTTAGTTTAGGACAAGAAACACTCATCCTTCACAGTCACAAATGACTGTTAGGCACTTCCATTTAGGAGATGGATGCCTTATTACTCTAATGCTGAAAACCACTGTCTACAAAATGGATCTGTACAAGGTTTTCCATCTTTGGAAACCTAAAATGAGTTTCTTTGCTGCCATCTGGTTGCAAATTAAAACAGTTGTGCAATTCAAAAGACTTAAAAATGCTTCTCTTGGATATAATACCGCACAGGAAGAAAGTATCCTGCCCTGTTGTCGAGATTAAAGGAAAAATCTGCTGTGTGGCAGAGGTGCAAGCAAAAGGCCTATTTAAATCTTCACTTCTGTTGGGTACAAAGATTTATTCCGTCCTATGAGAAAACTTGCATTTCCAAGGTGCTTGCATATGCCCATCCAGTCTCCATCTATAAAATGTGCTCTTTACTTAACAGCCAAGGAGATGCTAATGTACTCACCTAATTAAGTTGATAACCTTGTGAAGCTGCACTTCATGGGAGAGCTCTGGGTTTGGGCAGCCATCAAAACAAAACGACAAAAATTTATGCCACCCCGACGCTCTGCCAAAGCTAGATGGCTAGCCTATGGCATTAGTCGTGTGCTGAAAACAATTTGGTGCTATTTCATGCTTTGATGTTAATTTTTCTACTGATATTCACGTACACATATTTGCTTAGTTGTACTTTTGAATATTTCTAGGCTGTAGTCATACATAAATGCTGTATATGTAAATAGCAAATAGTATTCTAATAGCACATAACGTAATGAAGTCAACCATTTCAAAGTAAAGCTATGCTAAAAGGAGTGTGTAAAATTCTGTAGTTGGCCACAGTCCTTACAGAAAGCAATTTTCTGTAAACTTACTTGAACAGTCAGAAGAGACATAGATGCTGGAAAATTGACCTTCTCCTAACAATGACCGTTGGCTTTAGGCCACCCTAGAATGATACCTAAATAGTTTCTGCTAGAGCAGAAACAGATTTCCAAACAGATTTTTTTCAAGATTTGAACATCTTCCTCTACAGGGTAAACACACCTGTTTCCACCTGTCTAAAGTAATATTTTAACCATTTTTGTATCTGCTATGGGGCTCTCAAATATGCTTTTTGAAAGGTGTAGCAGGTCTTAGGGAAAAGGAAGCTCAATTAAGTGTAAGTAATAGGTTTTAACAAGCCTGTTAACCAGGAATTAAATCAAACTGTTCAGTTTGCACCTTTTGTGTTAGCTGCTGCATTCTTTGGGGTGCACAGAGAGAGAGAACCTGTGCTTCAGCTTGTTGCCGCAGCTTGAAGAAGGTCAGGTTACAGCTCTTCTGTGCTTACTTCCACAGGCTTTGCAGGCTGCCCAGCTCTGTACATAGCTGCTGCATGGGCACTGAATATTTCCTGTGATTACTTTTAACCAGGAGAAAACAGTACCACAAATGTACTTCTCTGCCCACTGTCTTCTGCCTCTGTTGAGATGAGCAGAGTGCAAGAAAAAAAAGCCTAATCCACCAAAATGTATTTGCGTTCTCTCATTTTTTGAAAACATCTGTCTTCCTTCTTTGCATCACCAACCTCTGCACTGTTATTTCCACCCGGTAGGAAAACCAGGCCTCACAGTTCAGTCTCATGCACATTTCCCATGGATGGCCTCGTGTGAAAACCTGCACCATCAGGCCAGTGTGTTGCACTTAGCAATTATTACAGCTGTTGGCTCTTGGGATGTGTGAGGGAAAAGTTTGTCTGGTCAGGATGTGAGTGGCTGAAAATTCTGGAGGTGGGCTCCAGCCATGCAGCAGATCTGCCATGGAGCTCTCCAGCAGAAGAAACCTTGCAGGAGATTTCTTCCCTTGCCTTAAGTGACCCGCAACATCTCCCCTCTCCCTGAACCACTGAGAGGGTTCCCCACATGTGCACAGACAGAGGGCCCTGCAGAAGAGTCTCTTCCACACACTAAGGAAGGTCCTTTAAAGATTCACTGGCACTAGAGGGTAGCATCTGCTCTCCACACAGCCTGGTTTAAAGCCATTTCTTTGGGCTCATCTGTGGAGTTTGTCATGCTTTTCAGAGCCGTCTCTCACAATAGTTTCAAGCAAGCAAACAAACAAACTAAAGATTTAAATTGCAATGAGCAATGTTTTCTTTTCTAAGGCCTTTTATGCTTGTCAAAGAAGGGTTGTTTGAATTAAATGCCATTAGAAGCCCCAGTGTTCCTGGCAGATGAATACACAATAATTATCAGTGTTGTAACATTCCAAGTGATTTTTTAAAATATCTCTTTACAGATTCAAGGCTATTTATTTTTAAATAGCTGTAATTCTTAGCTAAATCCATTAGGATGTTTATCTCATTTTCAGTAGTGTTTCTGGAGGAAAGTGGATATGAGCTTTCATTTTTACAAGGCCCTATAAATATCTGCTCTGCAGACCTCAAATGGGAGACATCCATTAGTAAATCTTCATCCTCTTTTGTTTTATTCCTGAATAAGTACCACAGTCTCAGCCTCAGTATTCTTTTTTAGTCGCCTGGTGCTATCCTTGCTCCAAAGATAATTAGACAAATGGCTTGACAACAGAGTCAGCATGGGAATACTGGTAACCTTTTCAGATATTTTCCTAACTATTTTTTTCTCCATATTATAAAAAGTCCTTTCTAAACTTACACATCATGGCTTAGAAAGCAACTGAAAGACCTACTGAGATAAAAATGTTTACTCCCTTTGCAGATGCTTTATCCTACTGTAGGGTCATAGCACAGAATTCATTTTTGAAAGTGAAGCCAAAACTTGTACTGCTGTAGTCACACCACCTTGAGCAGAGGGCAGTGCAAAAATAAAACAGCTGGGCGAGCTGAAGGGTAGAACAATCCCTTCCTCAACGGTCCCTGTAAGCAGGACTAACCATACAATGGCATCCTCTCAGACATTCAGCTACTGCCCCAGACTGGTAACAGTTACAATGCTGAGTGACAGCTGCCTAGCCCTTTATTTTTCATTAAGAGCTGCCTTTTTCCCACAAGTTTGAGAAGAGACCAGCTTACCTGCCTCCCAAACAACAGACATGTTGGTTTTGCCTGAATCTTGTGCATTGTAGGCATGTGCATAAAAGCTTATAGGCATGTGCTGAGGCAAACGGAAAGCCTGCTTTTCCTCTCTGCTTTCATCAAGACCACCAATTGTTTGTATTAATTATTGTGTACAGATTCTTGTATGAGCAGAACAGATACCAAAACAATGACTGCTCTGGGACAGGCTGAGGCCGCAGTTCCATCAGCAGTTTAGGATGACATATGCCAGCCCTTCTACCGAAGGAGAAAATAGCCACCATGGGGATCTCTTTCTTTCCTGTATAGCACCCACTCCCTTACATCTCCAGAAGAGCTGTGCAGTCAGGCAGTGGTTCTGGTTAAACCTAGCCAGAGTATGGTTACCTTAGCCTGGATTAATTTTCCTCTCTGGTGTACTATGCAGTCACACAAATGCTTACAACAGCATATGGGAAAAGGCAGCACAAAGCCAGGAATGACTAGCTGGCAGAATTGGGTGTATAGGTTGTCCTCCTTAGTGACAGCCTTACCTCATGTTTGCTTAAGCTAATTGTTGAACTAGGCATAAACAGGCAGCAATGTGGGGAGATGCCACTCTGGAAGCTGGTACCCTGGCAAAGTCCCAGATCCCCTGTAAAGGAATGTCAGGGTATATCGGGCTTGGCTCTGCTCAGAAGCTGTGGGAAGCAGGAATATCAAGAGACATAGTTCAAACAACCATGTTACCTGCTTGGGTGGGTGAGGTGCAACCACCTTGTGATACAAGCACCTTTCTCTGTTGTAACAGTGCTGTGAAATCTTTCTGAACAGCAGGGAGAGATAACATGTTATGCAGAGATGGCATGTGTCCAAATGAGTATCCTCTGAAAACTACTGTTTCATATTGCCTGTAAATACAAGGAGATGTTGCCATCATTGATTACCCTTTTTCTTGGAAAAATGTGAGTGCTGAAAGCTTCCAAAAAAAAAAAAAAAAAATTAGCAAAGACACCAGGGTAAGGAAGGCTCCAGAGGTGAAACTACAGGTACAGCTTGAGTGCAGCAATTCAGGACTGTCTTAGAAGAGCATTC